GTCCGCTGCTTGAGTCACTTCGAGTTAAAAAAATATGCATTTTATTCAGATGAGACTTCAGATATTACATCGGTTGAACAACTAGCTATTTATGCATCTTTTGAACATTGTGGTTCAGTAAAAAAACATTTTTTTGGACTGCTACCGTTAAGTAAACTAGTTGGGACAAGCTTATCTGCCAAAAACTTATTTAAAGTTATTGAAGATTTTTTTATATCAATAGATGTTCCATTACGAAACGCTCGTTATGCATGCATGGATACTACCAATGTGAACTCAGGAGAGAAAGGGGTTTTAAGTCATACTTAGAACATTCAGTCCCGCAACTAATTTAGGTTGGCTGTAGTAGCCACAGGTTAGCATTATTCTTTAAACATCTTCTACCTGACTTTGAATGTGTAAAGGAAGCCGATTTGTCTCTTCTTAATCTTTGGAAATTGTTTTAATATCGAACAACAGCAATGAATTTGCTGCAAGAAAGTGCCAATATTTATGGTGATATTGACAACATTGTGTCTATATGCCAATACTTATGTTGTTAGATGTTTTTTCCGCCATTGGTCTGATCTGATTGATTATGGCAAAGCAGAGTTGTCAACATTATTAAATCACTATGGGAACCTTCGTGAAATACTTAATGCATCCACTGAACAACAGCGACAAAAGTTAGCGAAAAAAAGAGAGTCGTACTGTGCTCAATCCTTATGAATTGGTTTAAAAAGAACTACTTAAAATCAGGATTTATAAAGTAACTGCATGTTTTTATTGAATTTTATGTTGATTTTTCCGATAAATGTTGCTTGTGTAGAAAGGCTATTTTCTAAATTAAAACTAGTAAAAAATCGACTACGCAACCAGTTGTCTCAGAGTACACTTGAAAGTCTTTTGATGATATCAACCGAAAGTTCTGAACAAGGATTCGAAGACGAGTTTCTTGAAGGTTTCGTCGAGGAGCTGAAAAAAAGAAATCCTAACATCAGAGTTAAACTATAATTAATATAACTTAAATATTTTACCTCTGAGTTGTAATTAAAATAAAAAACCTTGTGTATCAAATTTGTTCCTGGTTAACACCCTGCTATTTTTTGTCGCACTTTTGGTACCTAAATTTCATTTGTCCTAAATCGTCGTGGGAGACAGAGAGGTTAATCAAAAAAAAATTATATTTGATTTAGTTTAAATAAAAGTTTCATTAAAAAATGGAAAATAATGACAGAGATAAAGGTTTTTAATACTGTTATCAAGATCTGCCGCAAGATTTAGAATAACAAAACCTATCTTCTGATATCAGCTACAAAATTGACCATTTTATTTATTTAAAAATCTTATATTAATTTACAACCAGTAAAGTAAAACCAATATATTAGTTACAATAAAACAAGTAAGTTGCTATTTCTTTTAGATATTTTTTGGCATTTACTTTTTTTTGTTATGACTTGCTTATATTATAATAAAACAACTTTTTTTATTATTATAACCCATGATGTTTAGGTAAGGACTATCTAGGTAAAGCCATAATTTATAAAATGCCTAAGAAAGTGTTGTGAATTTCAAAATAGGTACCACAGAAGTAATGACTTACAAAATTGGAACTACAAGTGTTGTGACTTGCAAAACTGCTTAGTTGCAAAACTGCTTAGTTGGTAATCCAGCGCAACTCGTTCCATGTCCTGCTGACTTGTAGAATTTGCTTTCTAAGCAAAGGCTAGTCGAAGTGTACTTCCTGTCATCAATACTGTCTAATATCTGTCATGCATATAGTAGTATATATTTTTTTTTTATAAAATTTTTTATATATTTTTTATAAATATTTTTTTTGTCTTAGATACTGTGTAAGGTCATTTGTAAATTACTATATATTCCTGTTTGTGTTCTGTTCTAAACCTCTGGTGCAATGCTCGCCATAAAGTTTAAAACCCAATGACTAAATAATAAAATTACTTTTGATTACAATTGCTTTAATCAAAACTATTGTTGATATAATTTATGATACCTGTTACATTTAAGTATTTAAAAAATAATATCATATCGCTGATATTATCTAATATCTATAAATATTATTAATGATATTATAAATATCCTAAAAATGTCACATATTTCTTAAACCACACAAAATAAACTTATGGAGTGTTGTAGTAAGGTTTTTGAGAAAATTCTTATTTCTGAAGTCAATAAAAGCAAATACTATTTAGTTTTAGCTAATAAAGCATCTGGTAGTGTCAATCTTAAATATTAATCTATTGTTATAAGGTATATAGACAATAACTATAATACTCGTAAAGATTTCTTAAGGTTTGTTGACTGTCCTTAATTATTTAAATGTGCTCTTAGTCGAAAATTACAGGCATGTTTAAATAATTATCTTTCTGTTGGTAAGGCAAAGCTAATCAATGTCTATTGTACTTGTTGGGTTCAAAAACAAATAAATCTATGCATTTTTTTTAACAAAAGACTCTTAGTTGATGTTTGAATTTTCTTTCAATGTAATTTTAGTTTTAACTAAAATTTGATGGATTGAATTTTTTAAATTATAATTAGCCTCCAAGATAAGCAACACGAAATTTCTCAAATTTCAGAATCTTGAAATTGACAATTAAAAAAACACGCTTCAAGAAATTAAATTTAGTATTGATTTATATCACTACAACAGGTTCAGTATTGCTTTTGAAGTAGCTATGGCTTTAAATGTAAAAGAAAACAAAAAACTAGAAAATGTGGAAAGCAAATAAATTATGGTAATTACTCATTATCTGTGGTAATGGTAAATACTCATTATTAATGATCTTATTATTACATAAGATTTCAAACAGAAAGCATTTTGGTTTATATGGGATGTTTGCAGATCCAATCGCGATGTTAAGTTACCTGAAAACTAGCTAATATTGGAAAATCTTCTTTCAGGAATTTCTGGGTATCTATCATTCCTATTTTTGCATCCAACCTCTATTTATGCAGAGTTGGATTATGGAAGCCTCTTTGGAAAGATCAATCAAAACCGCCATCTAGTGTTTTTTAAACAAAAGTCATGACAATGACTGATTTCCCCAACATTCTTGAATATTTTAAAGATATAATTCTAGGTACAATTCTAGTTGCATTTATTCTGCTATTAACAAAAATATAAAGAAAAGAATCCAGAAATGGAGGGCTTTTTTTTGTCAACAATAACAGTACTTTAAGTAAGTTAAATTTGTATGTCTAACTTACGAACAGAATAGCCACGGCAAATTTTATGTATTACCATTAATTTTTATACTAGAATACAATAAAATTAAATGAAAAATATGTGTACAAAAAGTGAAAACTAAACTAGGTAAACGACGCAGAAGCTGTTCAACCCTTTAATTTAAGGCACTCAGATAAAAAAAACAGTCTGGCAGCGTCTCCATGACGTAATTATCGGACGTCTTTTTGACCCAGGGGTGGCGAAATGGCGGCTCGCGAGCTCTTGGAATGTTATGGCGGCTCGCGAGCCGCACACGGCTTTTTTCTAAATTTTTATATGCTAATATATTTCTATATAATTATTTCCATCATTCTTATTGTCATAAAACTTGCAAAAATGGATAAAGTAAAAGTAAACACTAGTTTTAAAAGTAAAAGTAAAAACTAGTTTGTTTTTTTTTTAAAAAAAAAAAAAAAAAAAAAAAAAAACACTAGTTTGCTACGCAAAATAAGGAGGAAAAGAAAAATTAAAGACAAAAACAGAATATTTCATAATGATTAGACAGAAAAATATGCATCTATTGAGAGAAACAATAAACCTATGTGTTTGCATATCGCAATATAGAACTTGCTCATAACAAGACATGCAATGTTAAACGTAATTATGAAACAAAACATTAACAATTTTCTGAAGAATATCCGTTAAGTTCAAATTACAAGAAGAATAAAATTGAATTGCTCAAAACAAACAATAAAAATCAACAACTAAATGTTTCGTCTTACAGCCAAGAATCAATTAATACAAGAGAAGCAAGTTTTGTTATAGCATAGAATATTGCCAGAGGTAAACAACCTTATACCGATGGAGAATTTGTAAAGCAAAACATTTCAGATGTCCTGTCGGTTTTAGATCCTAGTAATAGCAAAATCCAAAGATTAGTATCACAAATTCCTATTTCTCGATATACAACCGAAAGAAGAATATCTGAGATTAATATTGATGTTGAACAACAATTACTAAACAATTTAAAAAACTGTGAAGCATTTAGTTTAGCTGTAGATGAATCAACAGATATTCAAGACAACCCTTAAATGGCTGGAAAATATTTAGGACTTATATGCTTATTAAAAAGTGACCCTAAGTATCCAGAATTTATCCCGATTTATTGTGTTGTTCATCAAAAACATTTAGCTGCAAAACATTTTAACTTTCCGATTGTTTTTAAATCTGTTTTAAAAATTGTAAATTATATTCGAGCAAATGCAAAAAATCACAGACAGTTTAGAAACTTTATAAATGAATTGGATCTTGCTGACGAGCCAAGTGACGTGTCATTTTTCTGTTCTGTAAGATGGCATTCAAGTAGTGATGTTTTTTATTGATTTGTAGAACTATTAGAGCCAATTAAATGTTTTTTGATTGAAAAAGAAAAGACGTTTGAAATCCTAGACGATATAAATTTTGTGCAAGATCTTTTGTTTTTAACTGATATAATGCAACATTTAAAAAGTCTGAATTTGTTTCTTCAGGGAAAAAAAAAATATCTGATCTTGCACAAACGATATTTAGTTTTCAAAAAAAAAATTGTTCTCTTTCAGAAAGATCTTAGCCTGAAAAAGTTTATTCATTTTCCTCAAATGAAGATGATTACTTCTAATCTTTCAATTCAGTATGATGCAATAAGATTGAATCATACTTAGACAAACTAAAGGATTTACAAAAAGACTTTCAAAAAAGGTTTAAAGATTTGCATCAACTAAAATCTTCTTTAGGATTTATAGTAAATCCTTTTTTAATTAATATTATTAATAATGGCTTTCCAATTCCTGAAAAAATGCTTGAAGATATATCTCAATTTGAAATGGAACTCTTAGATCTCCAAGAAGATCAAAATCTACTTATGCTGCATAAAACAATAACTTTCATAGAATTTCGGAAGATAGTTCCCGAGGTTAAGTATCCTCAACTAAAAAAGATTGCCATAAAATTCATTTCAATTTTTGGTTCAACGTATACATGTGAATCTATATTCTCTACTATGAAATTTGTCAAATCAAAGTATCGTGCAAATCAAACCAGCAAGCATTTGTTTGAGTTACTTAAAAGAGCCACTACAAGTTTGAAACCAGATATTAAGAAACTTACCAGTTACCAAATTTATGAGTATTAGTTTGATCAAAGTAAAAAATTGATAAAACGATGAAAAAGTTATTTCTCGATTGTAAAAATCAAGTAAAATAATCTAATTTTAGTGTTTTTTTTTAATTATTATTTCATTGATATAAGCATTGTTATAATTTTGTAAATTAAAAAAAAGTTTATGATCAGCATGATAAAAAAGATGAGTGTGTTGCACAGCACATGTCCAGTGTGTTGCACAGTACCTAATCGTGTGCTGTGCAAAATCAGTGAGATCATGTGATTGTGGAAAGTTATAGGAATGATTTTTTAGTCTGAAGGGAATTTTATAAAATAAACCAGATATAATGGCATTGTAAACAAAACCTTTGAAGGAATAGTTTTTTCTTTAAAAAATTTATTGATTGTTTTAAAACAAGGGTTACGCCCCTCTCATAAGTCAATGTAAACACCACTTGTATACGTAAATTTTTGTATAACATTATTTATATTGTATGCTAATTAAATTTAGTTAAATAAAGATACAAATATTTACAAAAAAAGATTTTTATTATGAAAAAAGTGTTAAATTTCTTATAGTAAAGGTGGTGATTTGTATACTTCTCTATCCACCTGGATATGCCTGGTGGTTATTGGTTAATATAAATTTGTAGCCCACTCTTACGCCTATCTTTTGATATCAAGATATTTTTATTTTGATTAGAATTGACAAAGTTAAAGATTGGGTTAAGTAAAACTGACGCTTTTTATATCATGAATTAAAGAAGATTGGAATGAGCTATAATATTGATTTTTTTTTTTATTGAACGCTAGAACAAAAATGAATAAAAGAATTAAATTTCTTCAGTACGATAAATTTTTCCGATTTTTCCTAACCCTAACCACAATATGGTTGCTCAAACCATATAATAGACTTGTTATTTACCTACTCTATTTTAAAATTGTTACCTTATGCTATATCAGGTAGTAACTCTAAGGGCCGCTTTAGTATCACTTAAGGATTTTTAGTTTCAAAATCGTTTCAAACCCAAAAATGAATCTCAGTTGTTTAATTACAGCAGGTGATTACGATTCAATATCAAACTTAACTGCATCAATCAATTGCAATATTTTATTTCTACATAAAACCGCGGATCAAATATTAAGTTTGATAATTTCTAACATTTGAACTGTTTGCGAAAATTTTATCCCAAGGTTAATAAAACAAAGAAAAAGTATGATCCTTGGGTTACTCCACATATTAAAAACCTAATCCGAGCAAAAATATCCGTTTGGTATATCAGCTGCTCAACTAAATGGAAGAATAATAAACTTAAAATAAACAGCTGTCTTTTTAATCGATCCCTTAAAAGCTGAAATAGTTAAAGCAAAAAGAGCACACAAAAAAGGAATAATATCAACACCCCTCTGAATAATTACCATCGTTAAAAAAGTGATACTAACCTGAATAAAACTTTTAACGAAAACATTTGTTTTTTCTATTATAAATCTTATTAAATCTTATTCACATTTACAAAAATCTTATATAGGTTATATAACTCTGAATATTACTCACTCTCTAGAAACTAGCAAATTTTAGTTTGGTCTATAAAATACCGAAAGATGAATTACTTGCTGAAAACTCTCGACCATATTCACAAAACTCTGTTTCCTGTAAAATAGTCAAAATATTGGTTAAGAACAAAATTTTAAGCACATTAACAATAATAAAATGCTCTCTGCGAATCAACATGGCTTTTTTCACAATAAGTTATGCATGACTAATCTAATAGAGACTTTTAATATTATTTCATCTTCTAAATTTTTTTACCTATTTATTGATGAAATCAGCGACGGATCCAGGATTTAGTGGTGAGGGGTAATGCTTGGAGGTTTACGGAGGAGAGGGTTTGGGATGGGGCATCCCCTCCCAAAAACTTATGTGAGACAGGCAAATAAATTATTATTCAATAGGTTTATTATTATCAGTTGATTACAAATTAGTGGAGTTACGACTGCAGAATTTGTAGGTAGTGAACCACTGGGCAAACTCACTTGACTGACGTCGTCAACTGTTATATTTGTAGGACTGGAAAATAAACAAAAAAGAACACGGTGAATACCCTTCTAACATTTTGTAGTATCACCGCTACTGTAAGTCAGGATTAGACGAATTCGTGAATTAGTTCACTTTTTATTTTTGAATTAGTCAATTCACACTAATTATTACTGTAATTGAGTACGCGAGTTGCGCGAAGTGTAAAGTTAATTGTCCAATGTCCTCACAAAAGTCATTTTGTGTGGAGATTGGACAACATTAGCTTTAGTTACTTAACATAAATAAATAAAATACAATTGAAAAAATCTTTTTTATTTTATAAAAAAACCGTTACTTTTTTCGTTGAAAATAGTCTGTCATCTTACGTAAGATGACAGACTATTTTCAACGAAAAAAGTAACGGTTTTTTTTTTAAATCTTGTTTTAATGTTTGTTTTTAAAATCTTGTTTTAAGGTTTGTTTTTAAAATCTTGTTTTAAAATCGCCTTTATTTAGTTTTCTTAATATACTATGGAATATTATTAAATATACTTAATATACTAAAAAGGCGTAATTACGCCTTTTTAGTATATTAAGTATATTTTGTAATACTCCATAGTATATTAAGATACTAAATAAAGGCGATTTTAAAACAAGGCGATTCAACACACAAATACCGGAACTTAGCTCATGTGCAAAACGGCAGCCAATTTGAAAACGTTTTGATTGAAACCATCACAACGCACTCGTTCAAGTAAAAATAAAAAAAATAAAAATTGAAAGTCTGGTGGGGTGTAATGCATTACACCATATTACTCCCCCTCCCCCTTTTTTCCGCGCCTGGATGTAATCTCGACTTTGCCAATGCGTTGATTCTCTACCTCAATGCAGACGTATGTTAAAATTAAGATCTTTCGGAATAAATAGGAAATAAAACAAAAGATATAATAAATCAATCCCTAAAAAGCTCTACTAAAGCTCTAAAAATTTATGAGTTTTTACTTCAAGTAAGACTAAGTGGAGCGCACATTTTCGAACAGTTTTTAAAGCCCTTACAAACTCCTGGTATGTAAAAAGTTTATTAGACCACACCATAAATATTCAGTTTCTATTTGGGCTTTTTATTTAAAAACTGATGATCCTTGGTTGAATCTATTCAACTCAAAGCAAAAAAATGGCTTAAGACATCTTTAATACTGCGACTAAGAAGATTGAATCTACTATCATTGGCTAAGTGTTTTGGTTGAGTCAGCGGTAAGCTTTGGGTTTAGAGAAATTTTCCGCACATTTTTGTTGCATTTTACACATTGAAAAATTCTGCATTAATGCATATCACCCGTGTCCAGAATAAGACATTATAATATTAATTGCTTATCTAAAAATTTAAAAGTAGCATATTTGACATAATAGTAATTGTATATTTGAAATTACCCATTAGCATAGCAACTGCAAAAAGATCCACATTAAAACAATTTTAAGGTCAACAATGGCTCAAACCATTTTGTCTGCACTAGACCTAATAGCTACTGAAGCAAAAATTGCAGCTTTATTTTATTTAAAAGGTGTTATTGACCAATTTGCAGTTATAAAGACAAGAAAAAATCTTTGTTAGATTTTCTACTTACTAAACTCGCCTTGTGTTACATACTGGTTCCTATTTAATTATATCAAAATTGTATTAAAAAATAAAGTTTTATTTTCATGTATAATTTTTGTCAGGTAAAAGAGAAGGAAGGGGGGAGGGGGAGAGAGCAGAAAAGTAAGTTTTGAAAGAATAGTTTACCTAATACAAACCTGTTAAAGGTTTGTTAATACAAACCTGTTATAGTTGTTTTAATAGAAATCAGTTTTTATTCAGCAGGTAACTACTATTAATTTGAGTATACTGAATAATTAAGTAAAGTGTTTGCTCAAATGTTATTGACTTTAGCAATACATAAACTAATTAGTAAGAAAAAATTACTTTCAAAACCAGTAACTTCAAACAATTTTGTAATATTAGTTTAATATCAGCTTACAATTAAAAAAAAAAAAGTTATAGATTGTTCCCATAGTTATTATTAATTTTTGGTGACACAATCAAGAGAACTAATCTTTTACGGTTGCAGAGTAGTTTAGATTAATTCTTTATAGCATTGAAGAAAGAAATTTTGTTGAAATGTCTTCAACTAGTTTTACTGCTACTATTAAAGACACAAAATAAAACGAATGAACTCAAAACCGCATCGGCACGATTACCGGAAATTAGTATTTGTATTGCTATTCAAGTTGAACATGAGAAATTAGAACTACAAGACAAAGACATAAACGTAGAAAGGCAGAGAAGGAATGATAATAGTTATTAAAGGAATGACATAGTTATGCCTATTTCAGAAAATGAACAGATTTTAAGTGAGCCTCAACCTTACTCTGCAACCACTTAAATCAGCCGAACTTGTTTAAGTCAGATTTCAAATGCTGGATTTGATAATGGATTTAATAAAAATGCCACATTCTCTTCACATTAAGAAAAATAATCATGAAAAGCGATATCTTAATCATTCTCATCTGGAAAAATAGTCAGATGAATATTCAGAAAAAAAGGACAATGCTGCAAATATTGTGTATTACTTTTATAGCACCAAACTGCAGGATCTCACTAACAAGTTGCACTTCAGAAGCTAGTTAAGCAACCATTATAAGTGTTTTCAAAACTATTTGGCAAGGACTATTTGGCAACATTATAAGGAAGCTGTTTAAGAAGAGGTTTTTAAAAAAAGTATAATAAACTAGCTATGGTTGTAAACAGAGTAAACACTCAACGGCTTAGAAAATCGTCAACGATTCTCATCTATTGTTGAAACAATTATATTTTTAGGAAGGCAAAACATTCCTTTTGGAGGCCACAGAGGTGATGGCAGCTACCTACTGACCGTTTTGCGAAGCCGGGAAATCGTAAATTAGAATTTGTAATATAAGCTTTTAAAATAATTAACAAATCAATTATGCTTTTTTATAAAAGGCTACAAATACTAAATACAAAAAAAAAAATCTTTTTAATCATGTAAGGGTTGGGGGGGCATGCCCATCGCCTCTTCCTTTTTCCCTTCCCCTATGGATTCGCCCATTAGCTGAAGGTTTTTATCTTAAGTTAATAAAAAATTAGTGTTGAGAAAACTCGTATTTATTGATGTTCATTTATTAAAATAATTCAACTCTCAAATAAAAACTCGTAATTTATAAAAAAAGCAAGGAGTTGAATAATGAAACAAAAATTTCGTGTATAGATGTAATTTTTATTGAATGATTGAATTGGATGATGTTTTCATATTGATTTTAATACAATATTTTAAGAGTATAGAGGTATAGATCCTCGGAATCAAGTTTTAAATATATAAATAAAACCGTTGAAAACAAAATATAAACTAAAACAAATCAATGCAATAGTTTCTTTTGATGCAAAAATCAAAACTTTTTTTTCTAAATGAGCCTGTAATGTAACCTTCGTCATCCTAATTTAGATTGCCGTCTGAAGGTGCTCATTTTTGACAATAAGTTTTAAATGCCTATCTTACTTTCCTGTTGAAGTTCTACTTCTGCTTTTAGAGTATTTTTATTGTTCTATGAAAAATTACCATGACAACTTAAATATTCCGCTATCGCTGAATTTTTCCATATTTCTTTATTTATTATTCTGAAGTTGGTAAATACGAGATGAAATTTTTTATTTTATTTCAACGATATAACAATTTTTGCAGAAGCATTCGATTTTACACACAACTGGATAAGAATTTATTGGAAGAGAAGGTATATTTTTTTTGCTCGGTTTATGTCATAAATTTTTTGGTGATTTAAAGATTTCTTTCTTCTCTCTGTGTAAACAACTTTTTTAAAAACGTTTCTTAACTTTATGCTAATTGCTAAAATCCACGGTGGAATTACCTTTTTGTTTGATGAAATGGATAAATGCTGAGTTTTTTTGTAGTAAGTGACTAAGTTTAATAAAATATAGCCGGGGCCGGGTTTGTGACCGGGGCTGCTTGAACTGGGGGCTGCATAATATAAACAATCTAGAGCATATTCTTTCCTTAACTAAACCTAATTCATACAATATATGGCACTCTCTTCAAGTTACTTTACTTCAACCACAACCATTTTCTCCTGATCATGCCTCTCTACCTGATGATACCTTAATCACTTTAATCTTCTCTAAAAAACGTTGTCCGATAAGACGTTTTTCTAATCTGTCCAAGATTATGCCTCCTTTTCTTGTTGTGTTAGAGTCACACCACACATCCATCTAATCATCTTTTTTGGCAAATTGTACACCATATAAATACTAAAGTTTAAATAAATTTTAAAAATTATTGTTTTCCAGCGTCTAAATAAATAGCAAACATATATGATTATACCCATAATATGTATGCATAAAGCTCATTTTGAAAGTTTTTATTCCGTCTTTTCAATTTTAAGTCAAGTTCATTCTACTCCACATTTTTCACCATCTTGAGCCTTATTAAAGAGTAATTATCTTTTTCATCTTTTTTAGAAGAATATGTCTTTTAAGAACAAATGCCCTTTTATTATTGCAAGAAACAAATGTAAAAAATTCCTGTCCAATGTTGAGCTCTGTTATTTTCAGTTTACTAAATATTGTATCTTATCTCAGATCTTTGGTTTTAGAGACTTTTTTGGAAATTTTTCAACAGTGTCATAAACTAAAGTAAGTCTGAAATTTAATTTCTAATTTATGGGTTTGATCTTTTAATTCTCCGCAGAATAAAGCAGCGTTTTTTGCAAAGAAATCTTACTCTAATTTAACTGTTGAATCTAATGGCCACACTCTTCCTGCAAATTAAACTGGTTAACCAATTTTTGAACATATCACTACGGCTTCTAATGCTAAAGTTAATTCTCAATTAAACACTTCTATGTTTTGTGCTCCAGACAAGATTATCATCATAGTTTTAAAAAGGTGTTCTCCAAAATTTTCTTAAATATTGCTAAACTTTTTAAAAGTAAATAAATAGTTCCAATTTAAACTATCCTACGATTAGTCTTCACTCTTTTATTAGTTTCTTTACATAAAGTTTTTGAGATTATTAAATTATTTCTTTCTAACTGCAGTAATAAAGTTATTCTGGAAGACGTCCTTTTTATTTAAAGTAACTTTAAGGGTACCAAAAAGTTTATTCTTCGCTCCTGTAATGTTTCCTATATACAATAACAATCTTAATAAAAATTTTACATCTTAAATGCCTCTATTAGCTGACGACTCAACCTTATGCTCTTTTCTGGACGAAAAACCTTCACTTTTTGATTGCTTACAACAAGCAGCCGGTTTTTATTGATCTGTATTCTGTAACAGCCTAAGGCTTGCAGTGGCTTGTGAATTTAAATTCTGGACCTAAAATTAACATTTTTTTAGGCTACAAAACTCATTTATTTACAGCGAAAAAATATTGCAGTATTGTATATAATCCAATGCCAATTTCTAAAAAAGTCTTCTTCATCTAGAATTAAAAATTAAATAAATAAATAAAAAAGATCCTTCAGTATAAAAGTGAGGGAGCACGTACCCCTATCCCATCCCCCTCCCCCTCCCTCCCCTTTGTCCCCTCGCTCCTCCGTGTCGCCGGCCCTAGTTTAAAAAAGACTTAGATTTAATAATTATTTTATTAAAAGAATATCCTCTATCATAGTCTTTACAGAATTTCGCTAAAAATAATTTACAAACAGCAACTTTTTTTTTCAAAATAATTCAAAAATATAATAAAGTGTTTTCATTGATCTATCAAGTTAAGATAGTGAAGTTTGTGGGACAATTATTTAGAATTGTCATCATTAATTAAGAATACTGGAAAGTGAACTGTTAGACTCGTTTTTATTTTTCCCGTTCCTATATGGCAGTTAAGTAAGCTATTAGTAACTATACTGTTGAGTAATGTTGAAGAGTTGTCAGTAATTCTTGTTGATTTATTTATTGTAGGAATTCGGTTATACTGGATTAGAGTATTTAAAATGCATCTGACATTTTTATTAAAAATATTTTTCAACAAATTTAAGTTAAGGTCACCAGCTAAGTAAACATGATTCTGTTTTATACTAGTTTTTGTTAAGATATTGCTTAAATTTTTTTTAAAATTTCTTAAACTTCCAGCTAGTTGTCTATAAATAAAATTATTTACAATGTTTTTGGTGGTGTACCAGTTGCCTCCAAACCTATTGCCTTCAAATCTTCTGCCTCCGAATCCCATAAACAAAGGTGTTTGCATTTTGTAAAATGTTGTTTTTATTTTATGTTATTTTATCTTAATGCAGGTTTGAAACAAGCCTTGGACATATTTTCGCGTCACGGTAAGGAAGAAGGCGTGAACTTCCTGGTTAACCACACTTCCGCGGTGCTCTGTTACAAGACTCTTTTGAAGTTATCTTCGGGCACCTAAATAACAATTAAAAAAAACAACGTATATATATATATATATATATATATATATATATATATATATATATATATATATATATATATATATATATATATATATATATATATATATATATATACGTATATATATCTATATATATATATATATATATATATATATATATATATATATATATATATATATATATATATATATATATATATATATATATATATACGTATATATATATATATATATATATATATATATATATATATATATATATATATATATATATATATATATATATATATATATATATATATATATATATATATATATATATATATATATATATATATACATATATATATATATGTATATATATATATATATATATATATACGTATATATATATATATATATATATATATATATATATATATATATATATATATATATATATATATATATATATATATATATATATATATATATATATTGGAATAAGTAATGATTTTTTTTTATATATCCACCTCGTCATTATTTTATTCTAATTACACGGGAATAAACTACACCACTATTATTGTGGACATACAATTGTAAAAAAAGATAAATATATATATATGCAATGTCAATATAAAGCATATATTTATCTGAGCTTGATTACTATGCTATGCAAAGATATTTTTAAAAAATTTAGTTTTTTAAGTCACGTTGAGAGGAATAGTGTTGTGAGAAGGTATTGCCGGATTTTGAATTTATGGAAAGAAATATAACAAAATTAAAAAAAAACTTTTAAGAATGTATTTTACTTAAACTATTTGACAAATTTTACAGAAGGAAAAATCATTTAAACAAAAAAATACCAGATAAAAATATTTTCATATTATTAGAGCACAACTACTTTTCATATTATTAGACAACTACTTTTCATATTATTATCCACATATATATACACAACTTTTATTTATTATTATACATATATATTTTTATATATTTTTATTTATTATTATACATATATATATACACAACTTTTCATATATTATACATATATATATACACAACTACTTTTCATATTATTAGAGTACAACTACTTAAAAAAGTAAACAAACTTCTTAATGAGCACGATAACTGCAAAAAATAAGATGTAACTTCGAAACATATATTTTATTTTAACAAGAGTATTTTATATTGCTTTTTTTTAATTATAAATTTTAGTTTTATTTAACTATTCAATCCCTTTAAATGTTTTTAGCTGTTCTGTTAGAATAGTTGAATCACGTGTATTTATAAAAGAAGAACAAACAATAACAACTATAAGTAATCTAATGGCTTAGAACTTTATATTTGTGACGTCACAAGTCAATAACTATACAAACATAAATGATTTTTTGGGTTCATTATACATCTAAACAAGGTAATTGTAGTTTCCCTGTTGTAGTTCTTGGAATCTTTAATTCCCTACAATAAAAACCGACACTATTAGCAATCTTTGAACCTCTATCAGTTAAAACAATATCTCCAGGAAGAATGTTTTTCTTTTTAAATTAAACAATTCTTTTTTAGGTGTTTATCTCTGACATATCCTCTCAAAGCCTTAGAAACAAATATTATTAATGATATAATGAACTTAACAGTATCCGGTTGTTTGTATTGTAACCATGTTAATACTCTTGTGTGTAGATTAGATGTTTTATTTATAAATATTTCAAAATCATCTATTTAAGTGTTAAAGAAAATTTTCAAAGTAGGATAAAACTGAATGTTTGTTGACTTCATGTTAAAACTGAATGTTTGTTGACTTCATGATAAAACTGAATGTTTGTTGAGGCTTCAAAAAGTTAAATAAACAACATAAAGTTTTCAAATTTGGTAATCCAGTCACTGGATTACCAAATTTGAAAAATTCAAATTAATTTCTGATTTAAAAAATATTTTGCATCTAAATCAGTGGAAATGTTATCAATTGGTTTAAAAATATAAAAGATTAACACGTTTATAAATTCCACATTTTTGATATCAACTATTTCTATCTTTCAATTAGTGAAAAACTCGTTAAAAATTCTCTCAGTTTTGCGGAAAAATATATCACTATAAGCACAAAACATAAGTCAATTATTATTTATGCAAGGATTTCTTTACTGTTTAATAATAGCCAGATTTAGATGAAAAAATTGAGCGGTTTGTTTGACGTTACAATTACTGCATTTGATGGTGCGGAGAAATGTGAGTTTGTTGGGATATTTATTCTGTCAGGGTTTACGCCAGTTTATGCCTGATCCAGTGTAAAAATTTGCTTTTATCTGTCCAATATATTACAGGGGCGGGTTTTATCCCTCACAAAGGATGGTAAGGGATAAAACTAAAGGGGAATAACTAAAGGGGGGGGGGGAGAATAACTAAAGTTCAAAAACTTAACAAGCCGAATTTTATCTATAACATTTTAATTCACATAAAATGCTGTCTTTAAATTATGTCATACTCTAGGGAAGAAGTGATTAGTGGTTTTGTAAGAATTGTACGGAACTTGTTACAAAAGCGTTACAATAAGGGTCAAAAATGGCCAAGATGCTTGAAATAATCTATCGACAACCCTTAATATGGTTTAAGGCATTTTCTCGCGTGCTTGTGCACTTTAAAAAATTTTGGAAAAATTTACCTGCGCACACCAAGCTTATTAAGACCGACTGTTTATTAATTTTTATTTGTTACCAACAAAATTGTTTTACCCATCTTCATAATAAAAACATATAAGTAATAACAAAATTAAGCATTACAATATAAATTCAATGTTTCTTTTTTTAACTTTCAAAAACGGTTCAATAATGTTATCTGTTGAGATTTCTTTTTCCCTATGAACATAAAATATAGCTAAACCATTCAATCTATCTTGATTCATTCGAGATTGTAACCAATCTTTTAATCTAGGTTTAAATAATTTTAGTTGAAAAATAAGATTATTTGGTTAATAATTTGATATTGTAATTTTAATTTAGATATACAAAGTATATCTACATTAAAATTACATAAAATTTTTTGCAAAGTAAAAAACTTTTTTCAACTGATGCAATACTAATGGGAAGACAACCAATAATTAAATGTATTGTTTTGATACTTGGGAATAAAATATCTGGACAATAATCCATACCATCAATTACTGTAGATTGTAGATAACCTCCTAGAAATTAAGAGATTAATTTCTTATAATTTAGATAATTTAAACTAAAAAAATTAATAACATATTTTATTTTCGCAATCTACAATTCAAGTTCAGAAGAAAACTATTGTTTTTCTATGGAAAAAAATTCTTTACCAACAATGTCTGCAATATTATTCATATCATGCAACTTAATATCAACTACAAAACTTGGTATAAGAAGTTACAATTTATAAACAGTTAAAATTTTGTTACTTAAATATCTATCTTTTAAATCATCAAGAACATGATCATACAGTGGATTATAACCAGAAGTTCTAAAGTATTCTTCTTCAGATAAAGTATTTATATTTAGTTTGTGTATTTGATTGATTAGTAATACAAGGGAACTTTAGTTCCACATCCAGTTTTTCCATAAGTTGTATTATAAAATATTGTTTTAAAATAGATATAACAGTTAGACTGCATATTATCCTTAATGTTTATAATATTCTTGAAGCAATCTTCTGCAAAATGTCTTTTTGAACACTTCGAAGTAGTTTACTTACAGGCGAAGTTAAGTTGAGTAAATTTGATAGTATAAATAATGATTTTCTTTACCAAATATTATTTTAAGAAGATTTCTTTTAGCTGACATATTAAAAAACATAACAGTTTTTTTTAATAATACCGACAGAGTCTCTAATCGCCATGACACTAGATGATTTAGAAATCGATAAAATTAAACAATGATTGGTATATGAACTATAAAATGGATATGGAGTTGCATTTGATTAAATATATTTAACAGCACCGCAAACTGTGGATGTCATAACTCAGCAACCATCAGTTGCGATTCCAAAATAGTGTTTCAAGTTAAAATTTAAACTTTTTAGAATATTAATGACTATTTTTCCAAGAACATCATCTGTGAATTTTGTTTTTTTTCCGTTTTTTCATTTTTCATTCATTTTCATTTTTCATTTTTTATTATCATTCAATTTTCCAATTTCATCCGTTTATTCTCTCTCATTTTTTTATTTTTGTTAGCCTTACTCCGAACCTAATTTATTAAATCATGGACAAATGATTAGATGAAACCGAGAGGACCCAATTGATCATACGTTCTTGCAAATTTTATTTGCCGTCTACCAGAAAATCAGGTCAAATGAATCCTGAAACAATGGGGATTCTTTTGTCTTCCTGCTATGTTTCCCCTTATCATTGTATTATTGTATCTTTTGTCTTCTTGCTGAATGTGCTTCTTACGTAGCTTCTTGGATTCAGGCCTGTACAGAATCTTTTGTTCGCTTTCGACGGTTCTAAGCCAAGCTTCGCTCTTCAACATAATTTTCCTCTCAGTGTGCTGTTGCAGTTTCCAATCGTAACTATTACTTTCATATCTATCAGCATAACCATTTCCCAGAAAACAGACTCTGTTTACTATTAATAGAAATCATTTTCGAGATGTTTTGTCTAATACCAAAGCCCGCTATTCTCAGGCCACGAAATGCCGTATTTCATTTCAAAAATTAGACTCACGTGACTTTTGAAGAATTTTTAACAGTATTTGTAATAAGGGTAAATATGTTATTCCACCTCTCTCACAGTATTATAAAACAGGTTCTAACCTTAACTTTCTGACCCAGAATAACTTTTAGTGGTATGATAGCTATAGGGATCACTTAGATATAAGCATCGAAACCAGATAGGACATCACAATCCCATAATTGTATAAGTTTGAGACTATTAAACTGCAACATTCTTAATTTAGTTGGTTGAGATAAAAGTTTGATCATATACAAAATCATATACAAAGTCTAAATTATTTACTGGTAACAATTTAACAAAAATGTTGGTCTCCCATAAAAACATAAA